CTTTTACGTGAAAGCAAGCGGCCTTGTCCGAAATACAGAAACGCAGTCCGGTGCCGTGATGATTCATAGAATGGAGGCTCCATGTAAGCGCAGAAGAGATATGCGGTATGGACTTCAATACATGGCTTCTAGATATACTGTATACACTTAGGTGAACTAGCCGCGATATGCACCTTGACTTGGCACTCGAAAGCAGCATGGCGAGAGCCATGCCTCTGTCGACGCTCACATGAAATCCATTGGCCAATCGTATCCAAGGAATCTAATATTTTGACCAATCAGTATCTGTACGATGGCGGTCGTGCAAGTTCCAATTACAATACATACATAATACAGTTTTTACACGATGCTTGTTCCATGATGTAGGTCACAATTGCACCAATCACATTAGTGGACTAACTGCAAATCAAGAATGTCGTCCAACAGCAGCACGGACGTGACCGACACCAGCAGCACGGACACTTTCCTGACTATTGTCGACAACAAACTCGCTCGGCGTCGATACTTTCGAGAGAAGCAGCGCAATTATCGCCGCAAGTTGAATGCTGACGTGGCGATTGTCAAAGCACAGTTCGAGCACCTTCAGTCGATTCGGGATGGCCTTCAAGCCAGCATGCCTCTGTCAGTGGCACCGCGTGAAGATAGTGATGGCCCATTGTCCTGGTATTCCATAGCCACCGTGTTCAAAAGAGAAGCCCTTCAGGTTTTGACAGACCGCCACCCACTGATTACCCAAACACAAGAGTATCAATCCCTCACGAAGGCCATACAACGCTTTGTCGTGATGAACATTCCGGTGCGTCTTCACATTTCCATAGAGGCAGGCGAGTGAGATCATTGCGTCTGTGCATGTAGCCGCCGATGTCCCGCAGCAATGCGTGGCACAGTGCGACGTTGGTGGCCGACCCGAGAGCTCGAAACCTGGCCAAGGAGTGGCTCACGCAACAAATGTACCACAACATGCACGAGCCGTTGGCGTTGCTTCCTGCCTTGAGATCGGACGAGGAGTTTTTCCAATTTGACTTGGAAGCGTCGGACGAAGACGAGTCATTTGTGGGCTTGCATAGGATACAGTGCATTTTTCCAGGAACGCTAGCGTCCTTTCGACGATTCGTGCAATCCAACATGCGCGAAGTTATGTTTAAAGAACCCCAAAAGGCAAGACTATGTTTGTGTGTCGACCTGTATTCTGATATGAACTTGTCCACTCATACGTGATGTATTAGGCAATCGAAGAGTGCACGGCCAACACGCGACTGTTTTGCACCACTACGGCCAACGGCGTGTTCATAAATTCGCTCCAAGGCCACTTCGTCGAAGCAGATCGGTTCATCGTAGTCGTGCGGCAAGTCGAACACGACGAAGCGCATGCGTGCCACCCTATGCTGACGCAGCGGCACTACCGATCGTGGTAAGGATGAACTTCTAGCACTTGAAGCGAGATGTTGTTTCGTGATGCCACGTCATAGGACCGAGGTTCGACAGGTGTCGCCCACGCATATCTTAATGCGGTTAGTCGGCTTTTTGTCTCGCTCGTTTCGAGCCCACAAAGGATTTGTCAGCTCCGACGAGCTAGCGGCGTTGGGAGGCATCGATGTGACGGGCATCGAAGACGACGACCAGAAGGACGAGTACGTTCGGCGCGAATTGATCCGACTGGAGAATGCAGATTTCGTGCCTTGGCGACAACGGTTCACGAGCGCGATGCAAGCGTCTTTGCAACAACATGACGACACCTCACACTAATATAAGACCATTGATAGCCACGAATGAACGTGAACAACTGTGGTGTACTGTAAGTAAGCTTACTTACTCTAGAGTACGTATGGTGCAAGAAGCCTAGAAACACGATATTTTGAGCACTTTTTAGAGCGTTATACCATGTGCAGTATTTTTTTCCCTGGCAAATTAACCCCAAAAACGATAGATCTCGACAAGGCGAATCGATCATGTGGTTCCAATTCGCAATTGACGAAAAGATGAGAGCTATTTTAGTTTAATCGATCGCCTTGCTACAGAAATGTATGGGCTCGGACGTATTGGTCAGTTATCCGTACACTTTATCCGTACGTTGAATTAGTTTAACCTATCATTATCCAAGGTTTAACCTGGCAGATTACAGTACTGTTAACGCTCATCCCAAGTAGGTTTTACCCCAAAACATATAGGTTAAATAGAAAAACGTAGGGCAAAAGATTTGGCCTGTTCGTCATTTCTAGCTTTCTTGCACCATACCGTAGTAACGTTTTTGCCTAAATTTGGACTTGTGGGTCATTTTGCCAAATAGCACTCGAATCCATTTGTTCAAGTGCAAACTATACTGAGTACTTACTATCCTGTGAATATCTATCGCTATTAATAGCCAATCAGATGAACAACTTCCCTAACGTTAAGGGGAAGTTCCAAGTTCAGGGGAAGTAACAAATATTAATATATACTTCGAAGTATATGGTTTTGCCCAATGCGGAGGAACTGGGCCCAGTCAACCGTTTGGATTGACAGAAATTTACCAAAAAGTGATTTGATTGGCTTAGG